GGTTCAGTGATGTCCTCGTATGGGGAGCAATAAAAGGAAATAATTACCAAAAATACATTGTGGAAACTGATGATAACGGTGGTGAAGTGCTTGTTCGAATGCTGCAACAAGAGTTAAGCAGTGAGGCCATGATTGATAATGATAATCCCCATTTTTGGATTTTCCTGAGAGTCAATGTTGAAAATGGGGAGGTTCCCAAAAACGGCTATTTTTCTGGTTAAAACAGTACGGTTCCTGGACAAGCAGTACATCCACCTGATGGGAGTTGGACACCTGTAAGGACTCCGTGGAGGCAGCCGTCGAGCACTGCAAATTAATTTGTATCAGTTTTATACCTCTTTGTAAGGGGCTAATATCCATAATTCGTTTGTCTAATGGTTTGCTCCCTTATTCGCTGTTTGAGGGCATAGAGGGTCGAAGGCGTTGTGATTGGTGGGCAGCCGTATCTCCTGGGCGAGACCTTTGTTGGCTGACTTACAGTTGATACAGCATGGATGTTTTTCCTTTTGGCTACAGTCACTGTGTCTATGTCCTTTAGAACAGTGGCTACAGACCTGGTTAGCAGAGCAGTCCTGAGCTATGCAATTATACCTGCAGCACATGTAGCACCACGTTATGTAGATGTAATCATCCAGTTTAATGTTCGTCCAGGAGAGTGAGACGAGTTTTTCTTTAATTAAGATGCTCCTAATGAGTTGAGTGGTGATAGCACAATGTGGCGGCAGTTTTCACGGGAATTCCCTCTTGTTATTGCAATGCTCAATTTTGTGGAGGTCGTAAATTCCTCCTTGCTAATTAGATTCAATGAAGCATTTTGTTCATAAATCATGCTAATAATATTCTCTTCCTCAACCAAGTAAGGTACATTTAAGAGGATGATATGAGGATGCCTATCCTCAGGGACCTTAGTCCTCACGTGTTTTTGCACCTCCGGTAACTCTTCAATAGCTTGCCCCAAGACTCTAGCATCCTGTATATTTTTGATACGAAAGCAGAGCCCATTACCTCTTACCTCTTTGATAGCTGTGACTTTTATTTTTAATTTGTCTGGCTTTATCTTGTTTGTTATTTCTTTTTGAACATTTCTCATGTTCATCCTGATCCCATCTTCCTCTTTGGGATAAACTACCAGGGCATAACTGCTACCACTGCCCTCCCTTTTGATTTTGTTGTTCAGTGATCTGGAAATGGCCTTTGTTATTGTGCTTGCAGGAATATTTGATTTCACCACTTCCGAGTAGGTAGCTATTTTGCTCCCCTCCTGCTGTTCCTGAGCAAAGACAGTGCCTGATTCCACTGGAAGAAGACCGTAGTTCTTTTAATATGCCATACATTTGGTTTATGGCTCCGTACATTAGAGTAACTTTCTCAACAATATCCCTTTTCTCATTTACCGATGGGTATGTTTAGTGTTTTAGTGCTCTAGTAGAAAGGGCGTTCTCACACTCATCAACCAAGCAAGCCCTGGCAACCGAATTAGCCCACATCAGGAGGATAGCAACAGAGCACAGGTCCCCGAACATGACATGCTGCTTAGCAGAACGATATCAATACCTGAAACACGCCCTGACTGCAAATAATGTTGCCAACCCCCAGCAAGACAGTTTGACACGAGTCCCCATCACATTCAACCCATACCTTAAGACAGTACATAAGAAGATAGCTAGAGAACACGGGATACAGTTAGCATACAGAAAATGTCCCACAATTTTCTGTATCCTACAGAATGATAAAGACCCTCCCGATAGCACCAGACTCCCCAGAGTCTATTCTATCCCAATCAGGACAACAGACAGAACGAAGACTTATTATACATCGGTTTGACCAAACGTTCCTTGAACACCTGTCTATGAGAATATCAGGCAGATATCCGACATGGGAGACTCACCTTAGCCCTGGTTGCGTATGCGTCAGATCCTGAGGTCAAGGCACGATTCAATAAAGCTACTATTATCATCAACACACCCCACCAGGAGCATCTCAAATGGCTAGAGGCCACGGCTATCTATAATGTCGGCCAGGTAACCACATGCATTAACTGGAAGGAAGAGCTGACTCTATCTCTGGCCTGGCAATCACTGTTGGATGCCAACCCGCAACTTCCTCCTCCACTGCACGACCGCGCATGTCAAAAAGGATCCATTTCATCAGAATGACACCTGATTCCAAATAGAATACACTCCGTCCAGGGAATTCCAGTTGGCCTGAAGAAGAGCAAAAAGATTGTTTGAAAATGTTTGTCAACAGCGGTATACAATATATACGTGCCATGCACTGGTTACAGGTTCTGGATAGTGTAGTGTAGAAAAGGAAACTTATTTGGTTGGCAAATTCAAGAATCCACATTGTTTTAAGAAAGCCAAGCTACCACTGCCTTATTAAGACAACAAGAATGCTTCAATGATAAATTGAATTTGGGCTGATATTTTGAAAAATAGAGATTGCAAATTGAAAAATAAAAAAATGATTCTTTTTGCTGACAATGTCACCTGCCATAAGATTAATGTTTCATTCAAAAACATTCAAATTATTTTTTTGTCACCAAATACAATCTCATTGATACCACCATTGGATCAAGGTGTTATTTATACAGCAAAGATGCATCATCACACACAGATTATGAGGAAGATAATTCAAGCAATTGAGGGTGACCAATTGATAACTGATTACGCAAAATCAATACATTTGTTAAAAGCAATGCATATGATCAAGAGCTTGGTTCTTGTGTCACTTTCAATGATTATAAATTGCTTTTAATAAGCTGGTTTTACCACAAACAATGGTTGCAGTGATCGTGAAGAATTATAGAATCAGTTTGATTTGGGCAATTTCAAACTTGCTGAAGCCATATCACCAGCAGAATTTGAGGCTTTTATTGATTGCAATGAAAACACTGAATTCTATAGAAATATTATTGATACTGAAATCTGCAAATCCATCAAAGGGAAACAAGAAACCACTGAAAAGGATGATGATGAAGTTTATAATATTAATCAGGATGAATTGTATTCTTTGCCTTTGATCTCATCTCAAGAAGCAATAAGTTGTTCAGGAGTATTTAAAACAAAATTTTGAAGAATATAATTCATTTTATGATATAGAAGATATGATTATAAAAAATATTTTGAAAAATTGTAAACAATGTAAAATTACTAATTTTTTTTTACCATTGAAAAATCTGTAATCATTGATTAGATAAATTAGTTAATATAATAAAAAACCATATTATAATAAGGAAATGTAGTCTTTTGATACACATGATCAAATACAAAATGACAAAATCTTTTTTAAGATGACTCATTTTGGTTGTTTTAGAAAGCAATTTGGTTTAAAGCAACAAAGTTTCTTTTAANTTGAAAAATTGTAAACAATGTAAAATTACTAATTTTTTTTTACCATTGAAAAATCTGTAATCATCGATTAGATAAATTAGTTAATATAATAAAAAACCACATTATAATAAGGAAATGTAGTCTTTTGATACACATGATCAAATACAAAATGACAAAATCTTTTTTAAGATGACTCATTTTGGTTTAAAGCAACAAAGTTTCTTTTAAGTAGAGTTTGGCTGTTGGAAAGTTCAACTCTTTTATCAAGTCCAACTGGTTTCTATTAAGGATATGTTTATAAAGTTGAATGAGTTAAACGCGTTAGTAACAAATCGTTCTAAAAGTAGTAGTCTCGTTCAGTGCACATGCTTTGCAGTGATGACGTTTCAAATAAAACTCAATGAAGTTCACAAAGGAAAGAGTTAGTTCACTTTGTTAAGAAAATGGCAGCCGGCGATATCGATGTTTCTAAATCGAGTAGAAACAAGTGTTTAAACTGTGAATTAAAAGGTGAAATGATAGAAATAACTGTCTACCCAAAGCAATCTAAGAAAAATATTTCAGATAAGGCTACACTAGTAACATTCATATCTTCAATTTTAGAAACAGCCATTTAGTTATAAATGAATCGTTCGAAAAGTCTAATGAAATAAGAATAACGACGACGTTATTCTCGTTTAACTCATTTGACTTTACGAATGTACCCTAAGTAGACTAAACTGTATAAACATAAACAGATGTATCTTGTTAGAGATTTATCAATACAAAAAAAAGGAAACTATTTTATACATACTGTATTTCTGTAAAAAGTATAATAATTTAAATTATTTGTAATTAAAAACATTATTATTTATATACAGTAAGTTATTACAATAAAATTTAATTGTTCATTAAAATTATATCATATATATAATTTAACAAAATGTTTAAAATTGTTTTAGATTATTTTCAGAAAGAATACAAGAATGAAAAATCATTTAAATTGATCATATCATGTCTTATCATTAAATAATTACTATAGATCAAACAAACTTCTATTGTAATTATCACCAAAAGTAATATTAACTTAAATAAAAAATTCAAAAATAAATATTTTCCAAATTTGTAAAGTTTTTAATTAAACAAAGTTAAATAAGCATTTCATAGATATCAATTTAATTGAAAATATTGAAGAATTAAATGTTTATCAGTTAAATATTTGAAATAGATTATCAATACAAAATAGGAAAACATTCATGACGATATGAAAATCAAAACATAAATAAACTTAATCTATGAGTAAAACTAAATTAAGCATCAAGAAACTTCATAAAACAGTTAGCAAAGGTCGTGATCTAATTAACAATTAATTATAATTCATATAATTTAAAACTTCTTTAGCATGTATCTGCAAAAACAAATACTATAATAGGTTTTAACTCACACATATAACAGCCGATCATATACAATCTATATACGTAAAAGGCAAGTTTAAGTCTGCCATATGTAAATGAGAATCATATAGAAGATATTTAACACCTTAACGACTGCCGTTAAATCTTATATTAAGAACATTCTTACCTTAGCTTTGTACGTATCAATAATGATAGAGCTTGATTCTATATTTAACACCACGTACAATTCCAATATATATTTATAGTATATATAACAAAGTTTTTGACAACTTACAAGTCCTCCTCTTGTCTTCCTTTCTTCAACTTTCTGTCTTTTCCCATAGCATATATGTTTCATAAGTTACCGGCAACTATCCTTATACTTCTTCTTCTCTTTGTTTAGAAATCGAAAATAAAATTTACCAAGTATATCGAGCACACGATTATTATCGTCTCTCTTTCGAAGCTGAATAGCAACATGTGGCTAGATATAACACGCCATCTACGCAATATGGAATTGCTCAATTTTAAATTATTACAGAGAAAATGTTAATTCATTTTATTTTCTTCTGTCGTTTAGAATAAATAATATTAATTTCGTTTTATTATAAAATATAACATTTGATTTAATATACAAAAAATGAATTTCTATAGATTACAATTCATTGTCACTTTCAATAACAAAAATAATTTTGAAATTTCTGTTATTAATATAATTGAATATTTATATAAATACAATTAAATGTTTATTAGTTTTAGAAAATTATCCCATTTTCAGTGTTTGTTAAACTGTAATGAAATGTCTTTGTTTTATTAATATGCTACTTTGTAAAACTCTATTAATGGCGAGGTATAGACGGCTGGATGGCCGAGCGGTTAAGATTGCAGCCTATTGCTCTGGAGGACTTGGGATCGAATTCGGCTTTGTCGCGTTCTCCCCACCACCCGGCAGCCCTATTGTAGGCCATGGCTGAACCCATGGGTGGAATGGACTTGCTGAAAGACGCCCTTTTAATGTCTACAGGATGGAAAAAGTTGAAAAACATCCCCGGGCACTAACAGTTCATCAAGTTCAAAGTGGGGTGTCCGGATAATAACGGAATAGAACTGACATAAACGAATCAAACCATTTACGATAGTTTATGAAATTCCAACCCGAACTCAAACTCGGGTTTCTACACCGGTAGGCTGATATTTTTTATCATTTTGTTCATTTGTACAATCCCACAAAAAAAAGAAAGTCTATGGTGAGGAACGGGGTCATCGTTTTTGTTTTATTCTTTTCGCCCTGTGGACATTAAGAGATCTTGTTAATCTTATTCATCGTGAATTCTGCCAGGTACACAATGAGGGACGGGATAGACCTAGCGCCTCCAATATCAGGCCTTCGTTCAATCATTATCAGAACCGAGTATGCCCACCATGGGTGAGTAGATAACATCCTTGAACACAGGTAGTTCATCGCGGGTCCTCTGCAGACCGACGGGCTAAGCACGTGGAAGTTTTCTGAGTTTTCTTCAAGTGTTTAAAACCTGAATGGAGACAAGTTTCACGTAGAAAGCTCTCCCAGGAGGCACTCTCCTTTGGCAGATCGCCCACGTGTTGCGTTGCCTTATTTTAATCCTACAGAATCAAATAACGGTTATTTTAGTATAAACATAATTTAGTTTTGCACTGTTCACTGTATGAGTGGTAATTTAATTTATAAAAAAATTATTTATTACAATATCCTATACTTGTAGCAAATTATACCAGTGAGCAAACAAAAAGTTTTTTAGAGAGAAAAGCAAGGAGTTTGGCGCCATCATGAGCCAGTATCGCCCAACCGACTTGTCACAGCATCATCCACCTCAAATTGTCCTAAGTGTAGTGTTAGCTACCGTAGTTGTTATTATTATTTAAATTAAGATTGCCATAACTGGAATTACCTTACGCCAGCGATTCCCAACCTGTGGTACGCGTACCCCTAGGGGTACGCGATAGGTTGTTTAGGGGTACAGAAAAAAGTTAGTTATTATGGCAGAAAAAATATATTGTGTATCACAAACTAATAGTATTAAAAAATTATTAGGTAAAAAATGTTCCTTGCAACAATCACAACTTTATTATACATTTTTTCTTTTAGGTTTTTTTTTCTTTAATTTAAAGTTACAATATGTAAAATTAACAATACGGGTACTCACTAAATTTCTTAAATGAGGGGTACAATCTAGAGATATGACATGTCACGGGGTACGCTAATGAAAAAAGGTTGGGATAATTTTTATTCTATGGCCTTACGCCATAGAATAAAAATTATCATAGTAGAAAGTTACATAAAAAATTGTTGAACATTAGAGCTACAGTTTGTGCAACAATATCTTGAATCATATTTGTTCTTGTAAAAGATTATTTTTACAAACACTTTAATAAATGACGGCCCACGAAGTCTAAATGTAAAAAAAAAACCTGTAAACAAAAAGTTATGTGAGAAAAGACTTCGAGACATTTAAAGACATTTAGAAAGCGCATTACAAGAAATCTTTAAAGATGGACTAAGTTTTTCAATGTAACGTTCAGCGCGTGGTAAATAATGTTAAATTGACGTCATTTTGCTGCACACTGGATGCTACATGCAAGAATTTAAATCCAGCGTAAGGCATATACTGTCTCAAAAATCCAGATTATCATATAACTTTGTTCTTAGAACTAAGAAAACAATGAAATTTCGGCCTTATGAAATAAAAGTTGTCCACGAGTATCTTGTTTATTTGGAGTTTCAAATGTTATTTCTCGAATCTCTAGTACTGTAAATTTAATACTGTAAATATTTAAATGTTTTTTTTTCTGATATGGTGCAAGACCATGAATTCCACAGGTCGAAAAGAATTAGAGAAAAACAATTATTCTGTGACTCTAGGCAGTTCAGTTTACCGATTATACGCTTAACAACAAAATTCCAAAAATTTAATTCTTTATCCGAAGAACTTCTTTTGAATTGTTTCGGGAAATTTTTAATATAAGTTCAATTATATTATTTTTGTTAAGTCATATCAAATTTGATAAAATTTTTTAAATTTTTAGTAATTTTTTGTTCGAAATAAAAATATTTATATTTTATATTTATACTATATTATAGTAATATAAAATTAAATTCTATTCTAGTTTAAAAATAAAATAAAATAAAAATGACGAAATCATCTTTAGTTTGAACCAGTTAGTAAGATATTAACATTGCCACTTGATTAATTAAAAATAATGTATGCGCAAATAAAGGCTCTTATTTTAAACATGTTTAATTATTTTGGAAATAAATGAGTTCCACCTGATGCGAGTATATCTAACGGTGAACAATAGAAATTACAGAGTTTGCGCACAATGTACTTTACGTTATAAAAGGCCCGTTATAACTTTATATGTAACGTACCAGTATAAACGTAAGAATCGGCCGGACGGCCGAGCAGTGTAAATGACATCCTACTGCTCTGGGCAGAGCCGGCCCTACCATAGGGCGAACAGAGCAGCCGCTCCAGGCGCTAAATCCCAGTGGGCGCCTCAGTGGTAAAGAAAATTAAAGGGTATAAATTAGGGGCAACCAAGGGGGCGCCATAATAGGATCTCGCTCCATCTTAAAACTTGCCTCGGGCCGGCACTGGCTCTGGGGACCCGGGCTCGAACCCAGACAGGGTAGATAAATCCCCAGATCTTTCGGGGGGGTTTGTCCGAATATGTTCTGGCCCCATCACTCACCATCCTGCTGCTCCATTGTGAGACTGGTCGAACTAAGAGGGCTTCTTTTCGCAAACCCATAATGGGTTTGCGAAAAGAAGCCCTCTTAGTGCCTACAAGGCGGAAAGAGTAATAATAATAATAATAAAACAGTATAAACGTAAGAAAAGTTTCGCGTTAAAACTTTATTTTATAAAATTGCGGAACCAATCGTATTTCATTGGTGCAAGAATAGTGACACAACTCAAAAATTTTCAATTTCGAGTTTCTTGTAGAAATGTATTGCAAACTCCCCATATTTTATGTGGAAGAACGAACACTAATATTTATTTCCAAAATATATTTGAAAATTTTAAAAATCCATGATCATGACAAAGCCTTGCAGGAAACGAGAAACTTTTAAGAGGCTGTTCTGGAAGAACTATTTTTTTGAGTTGTGTCACTATTCTTGTACACCAACGATTTGATTCTTTATTGACATCGATGCATCGTCATCATTACGCATTCGCAAATAATGCACTGGGTGTTTGTCGGCAATATTGGTTTTGCTTCGTACGTGTGTTTGCAACCTTGCTTCTAGTTATCGTCTGTTAATTATGACGAGCGTAAAAACACTCGATTTAGATTTATCATTAGAACAATTGAAACTTTCATAAGAATTATCTAATGTTGAGTACGAAGACAGTGTTGAGTACGAAGCAGAGAAGAAGCGCTGTGGCAGAATATTCGCTCGTTCTGTTTTATGCCGAGACAATTTGAGAGTTTGTTATTTATAAATAAAATAAATTTACGAAAAATTTAAATAGAAATTAATTGATCTTTAAATAAACCCCCTAGATTTAAATTCTGTTATCTATGACTGATGAAAGAGCACATCATAGACCAGATTAGAAAATTTAAAATGTTTGTTATATTTTTACATAACGGGCTTGGATGCGCAAATTCCATCGAACGTTATGTGTTTATAATTATAACGTAAGCCTTGATGGTTTTGAAGCTATCCTACAGAACTACAGTAAGGCCAATAGAACACGACGCGTGCGCCACAGATTACTAAAAAGGTACGCATAAGAACAGATGGCATATGCATCAATTCATGCGCAATATTTGCAGACACCTACGCCTACAATTCATATTTGACTTTTTAAAACACAGATCGGAATATTTTGAAGAGAAATGGATAAATCGGAACATTTAGGGAAAAATTTTCCGATAGGGATGAAGTGTTCCACATCGAACAAATTCTGAAAAATCGGGACGTATGGCAACTCTAAGTGCGACGCTTTTATTGTTTTGACCATCTGGATCCATAAAAAATAAATTAGAAAATATTAAAATAAGGCGGTAAAAAAGTTATAAAAACTGATAAGTCATCTAGCTCAGGATTTTTCCACATGACAGGCGAACTGATTCGATTTTGACTGGACTAAATCGCTTTGCTTGAATGAAAATCGTCCAACCATACAGCATACATAGCACATTGAGTGTCGCACGTCAAATAACAGTAATATACTGAATATATTACTGTAGAAATTTAACATATGATAATGCTAAAACATTTTTCTTATAAAATGTTTACTTGGTACGTTTTGATATTTAAACTGCTACCTTACAAGTTTAATTTAAATAAATAAGAGTATATCTAGCGCTATATAAGTATGATAAAAACTTTATTTTCGCTTAATACTTTTATGAGACGGCCGGATAGCCAGTAGCGTAGTGTGGGTGTCAGCCGCCCGGGGAAAAGGAAAATTTCGCCGTCCCCTTATTTAGGTATCTCAATTTAAAAGACTAAAATTCA